TATATATATTATTTCACTTTTATTATTTCACTTTTCATTTTTTCACTTTTATTATTTTACTTTTTCAATTTTTTACTTTTTGTTTTTACTTTTATATATATTATTTCACTTTTTATTATTTTACTTTTTTGAAATTTCACTTTTTATTTTTTTATTTTTATATAAGTTATTTTACTTTTATAATTAGTTATTTCACTTTTATATTATCACCAATTCAATATCAACAATAATTTAATATAAGAACACATGAATAGAAGACGCAGTTATGATAAAATTAGTTATAATAATATTTGGATTACATATTTAGTTTGATAATATTCTACTTCTTTCTATCTCTTTCTATTTTCTTCTTTTTCTTTTTTGTATTACTTATCTTTCTATATTTATCTTATTGTTATCTTTATTTGAATATATTAATTACATTATTTTCTTGGCAAATTTCATCATTTTTTATATTAGTTTAGCTTCTATTTTCTATTTTTGCTATTGGTACTTAGATATAGAACAAGATTATTAATTATAATGTAATTAAATTTCATGTAATTTAGAAGAGAATCAATAATTTCATAATATTAGCATAAATTTACTGTGTCATATACTACGCTGTAACTGCATTATGTTGCATATTATTATGTCACATTGTGTCACTGTAACATGAAAACATGTATAAATACAAGTGCTGATAATTAATAAAAATCAAGTTTTTCAGTTTTGATTTTAAGTTCTTTTAGTTAAGTTTAAGTTCTTAAATTTTGGTTTTGAGTTTCTTTTGGTTTAAATATCAAGTTTGACATGTTAAATTGATTTTATTTTGGAATTATAAGTAGTTTTTGGTTAAGTTTATCTTTTAGTTTAGTCTTATTATTGTTCAGTTTCACATTCATTATCTTTTATCTTGTTAAGAAATATCATTTCATCATTATAAATATCTTTCAGTTAAAAATCTAAAGTAAATTGTCATGAACACAATTATTATTGCCATTTTGAAATATTTTCATACGCAAAAGCTCAAAACAGTATCACAATCAGGCTTCTAGTAAGTATAATCATAATGTAGATGTTCAATCAACGTCTGATGATAGTATTTTTACTGTTACTCAATCTTATTGTAATAAGTATACTTCAGGATCACCACACAGTGCATTTTCTTCTATCTTATAGATAGACTCTCACTATTACTAATAAATATTATGTCTACGTAGTGTATGACAGTTCTATAGCAATACAGTACTAATATTCTATAGCAATTTTGATAATTGTTCAATAGTGCGTAATAAAATGCAAGTATTTTAATAAGTTAATTTTCAATCAATTAAATATACAAATTTCATTAACAATAAACAAGGAACAGTTTATTGACTAGCTAGATTTTTTGTATTGATCAATTGATATCTTTTCTTTTTTTAAAACTTCAATTGTGCTTTATTTATATTAAATATTTTTCATTAATTAATATTACATTTTTGACTTATTCATCAAAAATTATAAAATTAACAAATTATAAAGAATATAGAAATTATAAAGATTAAATAAAAATTATGAAATTACAGGATTTATGAGAATTATAAGAATTTCTAATCGTAACAACGATAACAATATATTTTTATAATAATTTATTTCATTTTTTGTAATTTCAAAAAATATATAAATAAAGATTCTGTCTGAGTCTTAACTCAACATATTGTAACTGAAAATAAAAATCTCTCTTAACAAAAATCTTCTTCCAAATACTTCTTGTCTTTTATATTTTCTTTATATATTTCAAATCTTGTATATAAGTGATCTTATATCATATTGAATCTATTAAATTGCTGACAGCTTTATATCATATTGCGCTGAGCAAATTATTATTATTGACTTTGGACTTTATATCATATTGTACCAAAAAAATTATTGTTATTGAATTATTGAGTTTTATATTGTATTGTGCTAAACAAATTGCTATATTAGAATTATTGAAATTGAATTATAAGTATTTTTACTTTTTGTTATTTGAATTTTTAATTGTTAACGAATATTTCTCACTTGTGAGAAGAACAAAGTAAAAAAATCTTTGTTATTATTATTACTAATTATATTATCTTAGTTCTAGAAAACTTTATATAAAAATAGAATCACCCTTTTAAATCTTCTTTATTATTTCTTTATTCTCTCTTTTCTTTGATCTTTACTTTTTCACAACTCTTCTATATTATTATTTTTTTCAAGTAAATACAATTTCTATAGAAATTGGTATAGATCTTAAATATTCCTCTTTTTTCTTAATATTTTCTTTATCAATTTATATTCTCTTCCAACTCAGATTCTTGTTTGTAAGCTAATTTCATAATTAGTGAACAAACTTGTAACACTATTCTACATCAAATAAATATCATAATTTATTAATAATAGTGATAACTTATTTTAAAGATAGAAGAAGACACATAGTGTGATGATCTCAGGATAACTAAAATTATCAAGATCAAATATAGTGAGAAATTGAATTAGATGTTGATTAAATAATTATGTTATAATAACATCTACCAGGAGCCTAATCATGATAATATTATCTAATTAAATAATTTGCTAAAATTAATTTGTTAAAATTAAATCTGAAATTATTTTGACTTATTTTATTAGTAGTCAAAATTATTTTCTGAAATTATTTGAATTCTACAAACTAAAACAAGTATTTCTAGATAATTTTTAAGTATTTATTAATATAAATAATATAGCAAAACTGAATTATTTGCCAAACTATTATTTTTTTCAAAAATAATTTAGAAGATCATCTTTAATCTCAGTAACATGTGAAAACTTGAATTTTTTAGTGTGAATGTGAATAAGAAATTTGCTAGATTAAATATATAGTCAAATCTCTCTATAGTCACACCCATTTATAGTCACACCCCTCTATAGTCACTCTATTTTGCTTTCTATTTATATATAAACATAGTAAAAAAATTCCTCTATAGTCACATTCTTTCTATAGTCACCAAATTTTGCTTTCTCGAGAGTAATGACTATAGAGGGATTATTATTTCAGAAAGTATATCTATTTTTTTCAGTTTCTTAAATAGGAGTTTGGATTGTAATATTTTCATCTAATAGAAAGAAATCTAGAAAATCTGTAATGTGATTTAAAATAAAAGTTAAAAAATTGGTAGAATTATTTTTTTTTGTTAGTTTTAAATATTTTGTATTTTTAATTAATAAAAAGAAACAAAAAAAGAAAGAAAAGTTAGTTAGAAGAATATGAATTAAAAGAATTTTTGTGAAGTATTTTTTGTTTTTGAAGTTTTTCGAATTTTAATAAAGATATAAATGAAAAGAAAAAAGAAAATAAAAGAAATATATTATGAGAAAGTGTAAGTTATTTATTGATTATTGATGCTATATAAATGAAAGTGACTTCTTTTCTTTGGATAATTTGTTAAAGATTTTTATTCTTGAAAAAGTGCAGTTTTGTTCAGTCAAAAGATTGATAGAAAAGAAATGTGAAAAGAAGTTATGCATTAGTTTTATTAGTATTTTTGTTATATTGATTAGTATTAGTATTTTTGTTTAATATTAATAGACATAAATATAATAGTTCTACAACCAATATTTTATTAATTAATATAATTTTTCTTTTATTATTTTGCTCTCTTAAATTTTTTATTTCTTTATATATAAAATTGGTTAACAATTTTTGTAAAAATTGGTACAGTATTAAATATTTATCTTTGCTTTTACTAAATTTTATTTTATTCTAATTTGTTTTCTTTCATATTCTTATATAACTATTAATACTGAAAGTAAAGAAACTCTTCATTATTATATATTATTAGTAATACTTATCAAAAACTATTAATAATATATTTTTTATATTTAAATTCATATAAAAAATCCTTTGCAATTCAAAATATTTGATATGATTAAGCTGGATATATTATACTTTTTTGTAAAACTAAACAAAGATTTTTAATATTCTAATCTTAATAACCTTACAATGTCTTTTTGTATTAGTTTATTCAAATTTAATACAATCATGAATTTGTTCATGCAAATTTGAACATGTAAAGAATATTGAAGAATGACCAGCTAAGTTATATTTTATAATTTCTTTATTTTCTTCTAACAGTTTGGCTTTTTTTGCAATATATTAGCTTAATAATTGCAATATGTTTTAATTTCTCGAATTTATTAGTTTCTGTATTAATTTGATCTTTGAAAATGTGATTTATTAAAGAATATTAATTTCATAATTCCACAAGCTTTTCAGATGTCTCTTTTTTTATTTAAATATATATTTTTTGTGCTACTGCATGTGGTGATGTTGTATTTACTGATATTGCTTCTTCAGAAATAGTATTTATTGATGATAAGAAATTTTGAGTAGAGAAGATTTGAACAGATTTTATTTGGGTTTACTAGTCACCTGAGTCACAAAATACTTTATTTTGTTTTGAATAAATTAGGATCCATGGCTAAAATTATTTGATGGTATGAAAATGCATTATAGAATCTTTCATAGGTAATTTGAGAATTTTTGTATGTATGTTTTAGTATATGTTGATATAGAAAGAAAGCGTTGCATGTTAAAATACAAAGCATGTATGAGACAGATTATAGAAATTCACTTGATGCGTAAATATATTCACTATGATCATCATTATGCTTTATGATTGTATCAATTATATCATCAAAAGAATTACATTTACCTTTGATTATTGTTGCTTCTTTGTTTAAATTGCATTTACAATTTTCTTGGTTGCTTAAAGAATCTTTTATAATATTCTAACGCTAACACTAATAAAATTCGATGTTTTCCTCGCAATTTTATTATGTTTAAGGATGGGTGTTGGTTTTGGGATACAATTTCTTGTTGTTTAATTCGATATTGATTTTTTAATGTGGGTTATGCCATTTCTTTATTTATCTGTTTATAGATGTATCACGTGAAATGGAAAAATGAATATTGCTTTATACACGTATCTCTTTAATAATGTACATAAATGGTCAGCTTCTAGCGCCGATCATTATTGGTTAGATGTTGGATAAAAATGCAAGGAAGGTGTAATATTATCCTGATAAATGATGTAGTTTTCCAAAGGGGTATTAATAAAACCATCGTGGATGACGTTGGGAATTGTCAAAAGTTGTGTTTGTTGACAATAAAATTGTGAATTCATGTTTGGATTAGCATTGTTTAATTCTAAGTTTTGAAGTTCAGCAGATTGAAAGTTATCCTGTGTTTGGGTCTGAAGATTATGTTCAGGGATGGTTTTTTGATATATATTTTCCTGGTTGATAATCAATGGCAAACTTGAATTTGATAATTCAGAAATTTTGGGATAAGGTAAAGGGCACGGAATTTGAGTAGCATCAAAAGTGTTTGTTTGTTTGATGTTAATGTTCGAAGTAGGATCGATTATAAGGTTCGTATATATTAACTCGTCATCATTATTGGAATAACAAGGATTACTAAATTGATCGAGTAGAAATGGAATATCCTGCAACAGAGGTCCATTATCGAGTAAAAATTCGGTAAAGGATGTGCTGGGATTCTCGTTAACGTTGTGATTATTTGAGAAGCTATATTCAATTATATTTGAGAGTATAGGCGGCGTCCAAGTCACATCTTCCATTCTCTCATTAGTCTGAGTTTCTTCCGTTAATCTCCTATTTGCATATTTTGGAGATTTACCATAGGGTTGAGCATGAGCCCGAACAGCGTTTTTATTAGGGCGATGTAAAACTTTCAAGTTGCTCGACTTTATAGAAGACGTATCAATTACTGAATTGTTATTCGTTATTGCAAAATCAATTGGAGGTTCATTGTTCATTTGTTGTGTCGCGTCATTTATCATTGTGTTTTTGTGAATTGAAACATTATAATTACTAACTTTGAGGTTTTGATTATTTACACTATTGCTTGTCAAGCGAATTTTAGTTCTCGGCGATAAAGATTTTGAATAAGGCGCAGTTATATTTTTTCGTGTTTCCTTTGAAATGTGTGGTCGTATTTTTCCATTATTTGATGTTGAAGATGACGAAGACAATGATGGCGACGATGATGATGCTGGTGCTGTGGATGATGACAATGAAGACGATAATGATAATGATAATGATGACGATGAAGAAGATGATGATGATGACGTTGCTGTGGATGATGTTGATGATGCTGTTGTAGATGATGACGGCGGCGATGATAAAATCACGTTACTAGTCGTGACTTGAGAAGCGATAATATATTTGATCGAAGTATCGGTGTGTGTAATTGAAGTGTTATCATCTAGATATTTCCAATCAGAGTCCATTATTCCCTTTTCAATATTAGAGAACTTTTCCTCCCAGTCGATTTTTTTATTGAGAAATATCATAGTGTCTTCATCGCAGTTTGGATCTTTAGGTGAACGACTTCTTCGATTATTAAACCAAGTTTCTATTTGTTTTACCGTAAGCCCAGTCTGAGTGCTTAATTCACATTTTTGATCTTTATTTAATCGAGCACTCTTCTCTACAAAATATTCTTCTAATATTTGTGTGGTTTCAAAAGTGAAACGACCAGTGGCAGTTAATGGTGATTTTACGGGACGTTGTACAAGTAATAATTCGGTGAATTGAAAACGAATAGCGTTCTGATAGCCAATGATATTTTCAGATAGTAGTGATTCAAAAGATTTATCAATTTGAACCAATATCCTTTGAATGTGGTGTTTATCTCCAGACGGGATGAGGAAATAATGTTGCAATACGGTAATTTTGTGTTTATGACACTGAATTGTTACTAGGTTTCGCGCTTTATTGACCGCTTCGACATACTGGCTTTTTAGTGCGGATCTTAAATAAGCATTTTCTTGGTTTTGACATTCTTCTAAAACAGGTATTGAATCTACTTCAGTTGAAAATTCTTTTTTTGACAAATGTTCGCGAAAAAGATCAATAAAATGAGATTGATTAGTAAAAAGTTTTGAATTATAGCCATAGCGTACAAAAAGATTTTGACGAAAAGGTAAATCTATTTGATTTGCGTTCGGACTAACTTCGAATGAACTGCTGAGGTTAAGCAAATGAAAGGAAATTTTTTTTAATATGTTAGCTCTTTGTTCAAGTTCCATGATTTTTTTTTGAAGTTATATCTATCATCTATCACTTTTATATTGCTCGATTACCCCATAAAAAGAAATAAAAATGTCATGCAAAAACAAATGATATGCGCAATGAAGGGTTGACTAAACAATAACGATAAATAATATGCACGATAAAGGGTTGCTCAACAATACATGAGTAATAATACACTAGTTATTTATACGCTAGTTATTTATACGCAAACCTTTCAACATTCATTTAAACAAACTGTATTTACAATTTTTGTCAATTACTCAAACCTTTTTTTGAAAGTAAATATGAACCAGATTCAAGTTGAGGACCGTTTTGACTTCTCACATCTTGATAAATCCTCGCAATCATCATATATTCACAAACTCATAGATGACACATTTCAAAAATATCCTGTTTTGTTTAAGCTACTCAACTTTCGAAATAGTTTTTACTCCTCAATTGATATCGATATATCTGTTTCAACAAATACTTCACTTACTGAGGAAATCAACAAAACAATCAATGAATTATCTGCTCATCCTTTGGAAACCGAATTAAGAATATTTACATACACCATTGCTGATCAAATCGCAAAATTGTGTAATAAGCAAGCTAATTTCGGAAATTTTCTTCTCGACAAACATAATGAAATAATCGAGACAACAAATCAAATCCTCCAAAATTACAAATGTCAGCAAAGTTCAATTAATTCAGCAGAAATCCAATATCCAACTATTTCTTCTTCGAATTGTGCGGTCGAAAAATCCAAAAAAACACGCGATCGAATTGATCCTGAAACCACATTATGGCTCATCAAATACCTACTCGATAACAATTTCGAAAAACCACACAAGAATTACATAACATTGCTTTCACATTGGTCTAATATTCCCGAGGAAGACATAAATCGATGGTATATTCGAACAAATTATAATTATCTTAAAGAAAAAATCGATAAAAAATATCGTGACGGATTAATTGATCGCGCTCTTAAATACGGCCGACAATTAGGAAAAGCTCGAATAACGAAACTTAATGATGGTGCTATTTTTAATTCTACCGGTGCTGATAGAGGAGGAAGAAGGAAAGCTAAACAAGCTCGGCAAAAGGCGAATAATAGAATCTAATCTTAATTATTTCATTCTTTATGTAATATATATTGTACAAAAGTTTATTTGTTATATAACTTATTTTACACGTGCTGAAGTTGAATTGGCTGAATTAAAATTATTATCGTGGCTTGTCATATCAGATAATGTGAAAAAGAATTACAGAATGTGGCTTTGAAAAACCCAAAATGATTGTGCCCCACAAATAGTTTTACAATTCTTTTGTATAAAATATAAAAGGAATAGTTCATACATAAAACCTCCGTCAATTTATATAACACGATTGGTTTTTTGCAAAGTGGAACTATACAATGAGTCAACAACAGTATTATCCACCACCACCTAATCAACAGTATTATCCGCCGCCTCCTCAACAACATTATCCACCACCAGTTCCTAGCACATACGCGCCTGTTCCAGGAAATAATTATGCACCTCCCAGCTATGAACAAGGTCCAACTAGTAATCCAATAGCAGAAAAATGGGAAGCAAAGCCTAAATATCAAGGTTTGTAGTAATTCGCTCTCATGCTCATTACTATAATTTATGTTGTGAAGCCAAAAAATAACATTGAATTCAATTAATGTGATAATTACAATTTAGACTAAATTAATTGTTCTTTTTTACTAATAATTCAATTTATTTTTCTTATGCACAGATTTATGGGCACTTATATTATATTTAATACAGTTTGCTGGTTTCGTTGCTTTAAGTTATGTCGGCATAAAGGATCTTATTGATAATGACACATTAAAAGTGAAAGATAAGAAGAATAATAATAATGATGATATCAACATAACTTTGGATTCTAAAGCCATCGTATTATTGGTGCTTGCCTTGGTGGTCGGCTTCTTCTTAAGCTTATTGTACATGTTGCTGATGCAACGTTTCCCAAAACCTCTTATAAAAATCACACTATGGTTATCGATTGCCGCTTATTTTCTTGCCGCAGTTATTTATGGGATTGCTAGACAATACGTCTTAGTTAGTAGATTGAGATTTAATTCAACGATTTTATGATTTTATCTGTTCATCTTAGCATACACTAAATAGATTTCTTTTTTAGGCGGTGATATTTGCTGTTTTTGGTGTGATATATCTCATTTGTGCATGGACTTGGAGAGACAGAATTCCATTTGCAGCTATTCTACTAGAAACAGTGACAAGCATCACGAAAAAATATTATGGTACAATAGTTATGGGTTTTGCAGGTTTATTCCTTCAAGTGGGATGGTCAATATGGTGGGCTTTTACTGTAATTGGAACGTATGTATCAATTTGATCCTATAGCCTTTGTTTTTGTTAAATTTTGTACTGATTTTATATTATTTTCAGATATCACAAGATTTATACACGGGATTGTAAACCAGCTGATTCAAATTCAACAGATGTAAGAGGAAATCGTACCAATACCAATAGTACTACCACTACTTGCAGTGGCCCAGCATTAATTGTAGCAATGGTGTTCTTGCTGTTCAGTTTCTATTGGACAAGTCAAGTCATCAAAACCATTGTTCATGTGACTGACGCTGGTGTTTATGCAGCGTATTATTTCCTCGAGGGCACACCACAAGGAACTGGTTCTGCTCCCACATTAAGTTCTCTTAAACGTGCTTGTACTACTTCATTAGGTAGTATTTGTTTCGGAAGTCTGATCATTGCAGCTTTGAACACGTTAAAGGCTATTTTCCAGTCCATCGCTAATTCTGATGATGGAGCTTGTGGATTCGTAGCCTGTTGTTTTGCTTATTTATTAGCATGTATAGAAGGGCTCGTTGAATATTTCAATCATTATGCTTATGTACAAGGTGAGATCTATTCATCATTATCATCATAATCCAATACTAGAGAATTATTTGATCTAATCTTTTATTTTTATCTCTTCAAAATAGTTGCCATATATGGTAAATCGTACTGTACTTCTGCCAAAGATACTTGGAAACTGATAAAAGATCGTGGTGTCGAAGCAATTATTAATGACAATCTAATAGGAAATGTTTTAACTATGGGCGCCATTTTCATTGGCGCCATTTGTGGTTTATTCGGTTATGCTTATATCTCTATCGTTAAGCCAGATTTCAATGATGGGGGACGATATACTATTTTTCTCGTCATAATATGTTTCTTGCTTGGATTCATGATGACTGTAAGAAAATTAACCTTTAGATTATTTATTCTTCATTACAACTTATTGAATTAATAATTGCTTTTGTTATTATTTTTTTAGGTGGTTGTGACCGACGCTATTGACTCTGGTGTTACAACTACTTTTGTTGCTTTGGCCGAGGATCCTGATGCACTTCGTCGTACAAAACCTCTACTTTTCGAGAGAATTCGAGCACGATGGCCTCGTGTAGTTCAGGGAATTTAAATTTAGCGATTTCTTTGATTGTTACTCAATTTTGGATATATTATTGAGAGAATTAATTTTGTATATTATAGTCAATTTTTATATAGTTAGCTAATTTTTGTTAATCTAGATCATTTATTTTCTTTTTGGGAATAACTCTAATCCAAACTTATATCATTCACGTAAACGACAATATCAAAGATATATTTCAAAGAAAGGTATAATAAAATATAAACTATTTATTTTATCTTATCCGTTGCTCCCTAATATCATTTGACAATACAATCAATATATTATATATAGTAATTATTTATGGATTATTAAAGATTTAAATTTGATTGCCTTATTATCAGAGACTTACTATCACTTTGACCAAAAAACAATTCTCTCTTCGGAATAAAGCCTTCATTATAATCATCTTATTGGATATAATAAAAGATGGCTTTATTCTTCTGGATAAAATAAAATTGCAATAAATAATGAAATTTTCTATCTAGAAAATCGAGTCAGACTTACATGATCAATAAATAATGATTTAATGTTCTTGATGTATTATATATAGCAGCTAAACAATAAATAAATGTTAGAGAACAGTTTCCCAGCTAAAGCACAAGGCACTCCAAACATCCCAAGGTCGCCTTAAGAATGTGCGCGCCACAATTATCACTTGAGAAATCAAGGATACAAAAACCAAAATTTACATTGTGAAAATTTAGTAGTTATAATTTTCACGGCTAAACTTGGGATCTTGAATAAACGCCGAAAGAACTTTACTTCCAGTTTGTACAAGCGGATGGCCAGCAACTCTACAATTTGTTAATTGAAAAAAAAATCGATAAATCATAATACTCGAGTTAATCATTATTTTCGAGAACTCACATTTGTAAGAATCTCTCGAGCCCTTCTCGGCGAGCTTCAATAACTTCATCAGAGAATCGATTGGTAAATACTTTGCCAGGAAGAGGAGGTATATTCACTCTGGATGATTCCCTTTCGAGAACATCTCGGAACCATTCGAAATCACTATATCGTCTCCTGACTTTAGAATATTTAAGCTTAAAAGCTGGTATATTGGTCTTTCAGTGTTAAAAGAAAAATAAAATATAAAAAACTTAATCTCGAAATCTTTTCCAATCACCACCACTCAAAGCTTTAGCTTTGTAAATTAATAAGGTGACCATTCAAAATAAAACTTACCTTGCACACTATTTCATAGTCTGTATACATCTTACGACCAAAACCTGTAGTATTTGCGAGTGTAGGTATAGCTTTTAGTTCAAGTAAAATATAGACAGAGGAACTGAGAATTAAAATAAATATGTACCATGAGTTTGGGGATTTCGCACTTCAATTTCAAGTGAATTCTCCGGTATGCCATACATCTCATCGGGTGTTTGTTCTTTCATCGTTAATCGAGAGGTAGCATCAAAAGTTTTCTGAAGTGGGGAGGAAGCCATGTTTCCAAATGTACTATAAAGGTCTACGGATTCAGTCTCAAGTTTACAAGTTTATTGTTATTGATTGTAAAGACTTGGATTAATTAGCGTTAGGACGTGAATTTTCTGACAAGAAATTAGGTTGATTATCCGTATGATCATGTTAGTCTCGTGCGAGTAAGCAAAATAACTACTTCATTTATTGTTATCCCCTGTATAATGTTTTGGTAACGAACGAACATTGATAGCAATTCAAGTAAGCATGGTTACCTAAATAGTTTTTGAACAAGTAAATTTTAGCATAATTCAGATTTTATATGTTTTGTATAAGAAAGCACATAAAAACTATCTAGAAGAATTCATAAAATTCAGATGATAATTCAGTATCTATGAAAATAAAATTTTTTATTATTATCATTTATAACTTTACATGATATCAAACTATAAGTTGAAGAAATAATATTATTCTAAAGATAGATAACATATTAATAATTCTTTTTATTAAATTAATTTACAATTAAGACAAGAGATTATCTAACAAACTAAGATAAATATAACTTTGCAATAATAATGAGAGATTATAAACAAATAATAATATTTAATTAAAATAATAAAAGAAATTAAGTTTGTTTATTAACTTCTCAAAGAATTTAAGATATTGTTACCGTTTTAATATGACTTTGGGTTCTGTCACGAGAGTACACGTGATAGAGTCAGGTGGGAGAGTTGACG